ACACTGGCTGATGATGGAGTGACGTCCACGACACTGGCAGGCACCCAGGGTGTGCCCCTGCGAAAGTTTGGCACGTACACATCATCACCTGGCTGCAGTGATGGAGCCTGCCGGGACCCTCTGTCAGCATACAACTTCTGCTTGAGTTGTTTTAGGAATACAGATGCCTGCAGGCTTCGCCTGAGGACATCCAACGGAGTCTTGAACATTCTTCCTGTCAAGAGTTCACACAGTGGCCGACCTGTCGCTTCATGTGGTGTGGTCCTATAGTGGAACAGAAACCTGGAGATCTGCGTTTCGAAGTTCCCAGAACCAGACTTCTTGAGTTTGTTCTTCACAGTTTGTACAACTCTTTCAGCTGCACCATTTGAGGCAGGGTGATACGGCGGTACAAGCATGCGGCGTATTCCATTTCGAGTTAAGAACTCAAGGTACTGGGCACTGGTGAAGGCAGGACCGTTGTCTGAAACTATGACATCAGGCAGGTCATGCTGAGCGAATGCAATTCTCAATGCAGAAATGGTAGCTTCTGCAGATGTAGAAGACACAGGAAAGACTTCTATCCACTTTGAGAACGCATCCACAATAACCAAAAATGTGTGACCTAGAAATGGTCCTTCAAAATCGATGTGAAGCCTTGACCAGGGTCGCTGTGGAAAAGGCCACGGCGTCTGCTGAACCGGCTGTGCAGCTCGATGTTGAGTCTGGCACTTAGCGCAGCTCTTCACGCTGTTGGCAATATCATTGTCAATGCCTGGCCACCAAATATGGCTCCTGGCAATCATCTTGCTCTTCTCGATACCTGGGTGGTTGGCGTGAAGAAAACCAAGAACTTGGGTCTGCAATGACTTTGGGATCCGTACTCTTGATCCCCAGAGTAGGCAACCCTCATGGAGACTGAGTTCTGAGCTTCTGGTATTGAAAGGGTTCCACTCTGGTCCTACTGGAAGGCTTTCTTCTTTCAGAACTGCAAGAACAATGGCCCAGAAGTGGGTCATTTCGTGTGGCTTGGGCCACAACACCTGGTGAAAGTAGTCTCGGATATGCCTCCTCTAGCAAGAAGATTTCAGCAGGTCGTGGTAATGCAGTAGTGTCAGTTGGGAGAGGCAGTCTACTAAGAGCATCAGCGTGGCCGAGCTCTTTGCCAGGCTTGTATACAAGTTCGTACTTGTAAGCAGACAGCTTCAGAGCCCACCTGACCACTCGAGGCGAAGCTTGCACGGGAACGGGCTTGTTGGCACCCAGCAGACCAAGAAGTGGCTTGTGGTCAGTGCGTGCTTCGAATGAGATGCCCCACAAGTACTGGTGGAACCGATCCTCACCAAACACTAAGGCCAGTGCCTCCTTGTCGAGTTGACTGTAGTTTTGTTCTGCTTTTGACAAGCTCCTCGAGGCAAAAGCAATGGGATGTTCCCCGCCATCAGCATCTTAGTGCGCTAGAACTGCACCTATACCATAAGGCAATGCGTCACAGCTGAGGCAAACAGGCCTGGCAGGGTTGAAATGCACTAGAACTGGAGCTGATGTCACCAAGTGCTTGCAGGCATTGAATGCATCTTGTTGTTCATGTCTCCACTCCCACTTCTTCCCTTCACAAAGAAGTAAGTGGAGTGGACGAAGGAGCGATGAAAGATTGGGTAAGAAGCGCCTGTAGAAGTTTACAAGTCCCAAGAAACTCTGAAGTTCCCTGACATCCTGAGGCACAGGAGCATGCAGAATGGCTGCTACCTCATCAACATTCGGGGAAAGGCCTTCCTTGCTGATGATGTGCCCGAGATACTCAACTTGCGGCACGAAGAAATGGCATTTTTCAAGTTTCAGCTTGAGGCCCGATTCCTGAAGCTTGCTAAGTACAGCACGAAGGTTGCGAAGGTGCTCAGCATTATTTGCGCCAGTCACAAGAATGTCGTCAAAATAGACTGCTACATGAGACAGTACCCTGAACAAGTTCTCCATCTCGCGCTGAAATATGGCAGGAGCAGATGAGACACCAAAAGGCAACCGGGTGTACTGAAATAACCCCATGTGCGTCGAAATTGTGAGATACTCTCTAGAGGCCTTGTCAAGGACAACTTGCTGGTACGCATCTCGCAAATCCAATTTTGTGAATTTCTCACCTCCACCAAGCACAGTCCACAGGTCCTCGATCCTTGGAATGGGGTACTGCTCCACTGTTGCCACTGGGTTTATGGTGACACCAAAGTCTCCACAGATTCTGATGCGCCCATCCTTTTTGGTCACAGGAACAATAGGTGCAGCCCACTTTGCTGTCTTGACTGGAACAAGAATAGAATCTCTTCTTAGTCTATGGATTTCTTGAGTTACTCCATCAGTCAAGGCGTACGGCAGTGGACGTGGCTTGAAGAACCGAGGCGGAGCATCTGAAGGAACATGTAGAGAAGCTTTAGCACTCTTGAATGTACCCAGGCCTTCTTCAAACACTTCGGCGTAGTCTTGGACTAGGTGTTTGACGTTGGAAAGTGCGTGGATGTTCACTTCAACATTGGAGACGCCAATGCCCAGCTCACGCATCCAGTTGCGTCCAAGAAGAGTGGGCGATCGGTCTCCAGCCAGAAAAATAGATAGGTCGGCCTTTCTGCCATGAAACTTCACACTAACGTCAGCTTTGCCCTGAACCTTTTTTAGTTCCCCGGAATAGCTTCGCAGAAGCACTTGTGACGGCTGCACAGGAACTGAAGGCAAAAGCTGAAGAAGACGCGACTTGGCCATGACAGAGACACTTGCCCTCGTGTCCACTTCCATGCGGAGCGGCTTGCCGCAAACGTCAACAGTGACGGTGAAAGGCGGAGGCGTCGTGGCGTAGTCGACTTGCCACATGTCAAAAACTTCGCAAAATGAAGTGGTAGCGGCGTCCTGCTTGCGTACCGTATTAACACAATGACGGTTACTCGACAACGGTGAACTGCAAGCCGAGAATGAACGTGCCTTGGTCGGGCTGTTCCTTTGGGCTTGGCTGTCCCTTCGTCGCGAATCGCACACCTTCGCCAAATGACCTCGTTTGTGGCAGTAATTGCAGATTGTCTTCACATGCTTGCATTTTGATGCAAGATGTCCATCCCCACAGCGGTAGCAGGTGACGCCCACAGAACCTGACCAGACACGGTGAGTCGAGAAAGCGCTGCTTGTGTTCGCTTGCGCCATCTCACTTGCGTCCCTTTTTGCTGCTTCCATTGCCAGGGCGGTCTGCGCAGCATCGTCGAAGGTGAGGTCCGGTTTTTCCAGAAGTCTTGTTTGGACATCCACGTTGTTTATGCCACACACGACGCGGTCGCGGAGCATGTTTTCGAGTTCAGCCCCGAAGCTGCAGTGCTCGGACAGGCTTTTTAGTGCTGCGATAAAATTGCTGACCGATTCCCCTTCCGCACGAACGCGCGAGTTGAAATGAAAACGCTGCACGACGGCAGAGGGCATCGAACAATAATGGCTTCCAAGTACTTGAAGAATCTCGTCTAGATTCTTGTCACTGGGCTTGGCGGGCTCGACCAAATTGCGGAGCAAAGCATACGTTTTCTGCCCGCAGCAGCTGATGAACACGGCAGTACGCTTGTCTGGGGCGACATCATTCGCCAGGAAAAATGCTTTGAGCCGGTCCACGTAACAGGGCCAGTCGTCTCCTCCCCCCTCGAATGGCTCGAGGTTGCCGAAACTTGGCATGGTGAACAGATGGCAGAGAGCTGCGGGAATGAAGACTTACATGGAACTTCCTTTCATCCTCGTCGCCAGTTGTTACATGTGTAGATTAACTTATGGCCAGGCGGTAGTGACAACCTGTGAACAGTAGGCCATCAGGCTCGCGAAGAACTCGAGAACATCTTGGGCCCTTAGCCCAGAACGAACTGTTTTATTATTTCCCAAATCGGCCACCCCGCTGCTGTGCCAGGCTTGCACAGCTCAACACAACTATCAGCGCCGCGTGGGGGCGCTGCATTTGAACCAACACTGTAACATTAGGTATGATTGAGTATGACAGTAGAAAATCACTTGATTGCACTTACAGCAATAAATTCGAGAATACAATGAAATAAGGTTACAAAAACATTAAAACAAAATATTGCACTTACAGCATTAAATTCGAGAATACAATGAAATAAGGTTACAAAAACATTAAAACAAAATATTCAGTCAATATTACAGTGAAAATAAAACCATTGATCTGCTACAGCCTTATTGCTAATGCAAAAAGTTCAATTTTAAGGGACTAACTGCAAATTACACAAAAATTAAACTTGACATGAAACCTTAGAAAGCAGCACTGACACATTCAGAGATGTGCTTTGCGCTTGTAATAAAATTCAGCCCTACGAAAAGAAAACTGCCTTTGCAGATAAGTTATGTGTCCAGGGGGACACAAAGTAAGACGATAATGCTGTCAGTCGCCCAATCAACTAAGAATACCGAAATTTTGGTGCCTACTATAAGTGGGCATGTTTGCATAGAACGATTTGTGGCAGTCATATTTCTACACACTGCCACTTGGAAAAATTCTTCGAGCATGTCTGTGCTCTGAGATATTCCACTCAGAAGTTTATTGTGCTTTTTATGATTACGCATGCAAGGCAGTGAGAATCAGCAAAATATTACTCCCTGGTGGGACGAGCAGTCAGTGCTTGCTATCACCAGCCGGTAGTAAAAAGGTAGCCATTATATTGATTGTCTATGGCTTCAATCCATGGTCAGATTATATGCAGCACCTCAGAGAGTAGCAGCTGTGTGCTAGTGCTCACTGTCCTGCGTGCATAATGATACAAGCCACAACTAAACTTTCCAGCAGGATATCTGAGCACAGGCATGCCAGAATTCTTTGGACCTATGTAGAAATGTGACTGGCTCAAATTTTTAATACGTGCATGGCCGCCTGCTGCAATCACTAATAAGTTCATTATTGAATCTTATTCGAGGGCACGGCTGACAGTGATAATTATTGTTGCACGTTGTGTTCCCCACTTAGCTATCTGCAAAGATGGCTTTTACGTAAACAACTTACAGCACTGACTTTTTTAAAGAAAAACAAAAGGCTTAATATTGAACATCCTGTACATGCGAGCTACTTGAATACAGCAACCAGGTGACTCGGTGAAGTTTCCTTTCCATAGGAAACAGAAGCCATGCGCAGCTGCTGTACATCCAGTAGCCAACTTTTCCACGAGCCACCATTGATAACAGGCTTGTCCGGAATTCGTTCACACTCAGTTCGTACAAGGTGCATGCTTAGCCTGCGATGGAACCACTGAAAAAACAATTTAGTGACATGACTGACATGTGTCTCTTAGAAAAACTGAATTTTTCAGAATATTAAAAATGATTTGGAACAATGTGTCTTAAAACAATCAAGATGTACACAAACTAGAGATGTTAAAAGCGAAACTGTCTTGATGTTCTTGGCGAACACAGTTGCGACCTTATGAAAGAAAATGCAATTTCCACATTGCAGATATGTTAAAACCATGCTTGAATTGTGCTCCTGCATACTGAATTGAAAGCAAATTCAATGATACCACAACACATACATTATGCACTTTCAACAAGTATGCATTGCAGGTAACCTATATTATTGAACATGAATTTGATTTTGAATGCAGCTTTTTTCAGGCTGCTCACACGATTATACCTATAATGTCAGAAATTGGTGTCACTAAACTACTGTTGTGTGCTACCAAATTATGGTCATCAGTTTCAATGATTGTGGTTGGCTAAAATGGCAGTACCCCTCATTCAAGCATCACAGGCTGTCGAATGAAAAAAAAAAAAACATACGAGGCACCCACCTTGAACCACACACCATCCCAATAAAGCATGCAAGCTTATGCAACAATCTCCGAGAACCAAAATCTTGGAAGCTATTGACTGCGATTTAGCACTAAGATTTGATGAAACTGATTTCCGAATTTATATAATTCTTGCATTGCCTAGCTCAAAAACTTGTAGTCTATAGTTATTATTCTCAAATTAATATGGTGTACAATTTTACATTTTAACAGCAATACGTGCATGACTTATGCCTGCTTACCATGATTTATAACATTATCGCGAGTTCTGAGTGATAAATAAAATATTCATTCTGCACATACCGCAGATTCCATCAACATCTGTAGCGTATGCCTAAAAAGTTTACCTTATCCAGTATACTAGCTTGCCATTAATCAGAAAATTATATTGGAGGTGGTGCTATAAACTATTCCTAATGTTTGTACATGTAGAAGTGTTTAGCAAAGTTTCAACACCAAGGTTGGGCGAGGTGCATAAAATATTTAATAAACCAAAACAAAATACAGGCAAAGTGGAAACAAGCAAGTAAGATCAATGATGCTCAAACGCGTGGACTGATGCATGAATTAGAGCTCGCACGGTAAGGTACAGCAATTTGGCCATATTTAGCCATGAAATACTCATTCTAAAATACAGTTCAGGATAAACGAATGGCTTAAAATTCCCGGATTCAGGCCGCATGAGGGAACCTATGTTGCTGGTATATACCGAAAGTGGGAATTTTACTAAACGAGCTGCATCAACACTTAAGTGTAAGTGCAGCCTTCACGAGCCCTACCTCAGATGATTGCAACATGCTGCACACGAACACGCATCAACTCGAGTATCACGGTAGTTTATAAAGACACGTGTCGGTGCGGGTGCACACACCTGCATACATTCGGCCACTCAAAAGGAAAAAACTTCTCTGATAGTAGTCATAACGTATAACGATAGTGTAGCTGTTTAAAATGAAACGTAAAGCAGATGAAACTACCTTAGACATGTTCACTTCAATAGCACACAATATGAACAGGCATGAACACCTAAAGCTAACAAACGCCCCAGAAATATTAAACGAAAAAATGGCAGCATATCCACGGGTTGAATGATGGAGATTGGGGCGAAGCATCTGTTCGTCCATTTGTTCTTGCTTCCGTCCGTCCATGTGTCCATCTGTGTGACCGTTTGTGCATCCAACCACCCGTCTGTGTTTGCGCCTGTTCGTGTGTCCGCACGTCCATCCGTGCGTCTGTCCATGCATCCGCCCCTGCGTCTGTCCATGTGTCCATCCGTCCGTGCATCCATCCATGCATCTGTCTGTGGATCTGTTCGTCCATCTAGTCAACACACCAAGTACCACTTTCTCGCATCTTTTCATCATATATTCCGCATATAGAAGCACCGCCATCCAGAGGGCATTCCAAGGACTAAATGAGAGGTGGCACACGCACACTTTCTTACGGCTTGCCTTCTTGTCTACTTCCCTCTTTTAACCACCTCGAGTTCATGGTATGTACTAGTTCACTGTATTCATGGCACTGCGGCCTAACGCTCGCTAAACCTTTCTAAAACCAAGGAGGTTACGCCCAGCGAGTATAACCTAGCAACCCTTTCTTGTCAGATACTGCTCAATGTACATGCCAATGGCTGCTAATTGGGAATGAGAGAGATAACCTAGCAACCCTTTCTTGTCAGATACTGCTCAATGTACGCACGCTGTGAATTTTTTATTGTTAAACAACGCACAGGAGAAATCTGCCACCGGCACCACCTTGCAGGTCAAAGCATAAAACTGGTTATGCACTACGACGAGGAACGAATGGGGGTTGCTTTAAGGAGCTTCGCCCCTAAAATAGTGGTCACTCGCGAGCAGGGCCACCTTCCAACACCACTGCCAACAGAGGCGGACAGCCGCCACAACTCTGCTTGAATCTGCCGCCGAATTCCCACTACGCATGCATGCTTCATACTCCACACAAAAGGCAAAAACTTTTTCGTGCTTAACTTCGCAAAACTTTTCCTTTACACTGCTGAAGTACTACAGAAAAGCTGGGTCCCCTTGTGAACAAAAGCTCACTTATCGTGCACATGGTAAGAAAAATGTGGTGAATTTAGTGATAACAAAGCGCCGACAGCAGCAGTGTGGTACATACCTGCCAAGTGCTCCACGATATGAACCCACACGTCTTCGCTTCAGTGTAGCGCATCTTCATAATCAGCAGCACTGGCAGAACACAAAACACGAACACAAAGTGCAAGCACACTTTTAAAACACGAAAAAAATTGACTCAAACCCGCTCCTTCAAGAGGAAATTGAGCGGCGGGTAAACACGTCCAGACTAGTAAATTGTTCTAGCTGCGCAAGTGCACACCGAATTTGCGCATCTTATTTCCTAATGCTGACGAGTGAGCTCAATTATTATATTTAAATAAGTAAAAATATATAAAAATATATATTACATAAATATGTCAAGCGATTATTATTTTGATTTTAAAAAAAAGAAACATAGAAAACACCCTGCATATATTGTATGGACAATCGAGACTTCCATCCGCAAATTCTACCAAAAGATTTAGAAAGTAACTTCTTGTAAACGTTTCGAAAAAGACTTCTTGTAAAGAACGTTTTCTCAACATCTTCTAAAAACTTTCTTTGGAAAATGTTTACTCAACGTCAAATAATATACCTATATGTCCGCATACCTTTCTAGTTGTTTCGGGAAGTTTATACAAGGTTTCGTATTTTCTGGGCAGTCCATCTGTGCATGCGCCCGATCACGTTCGAGAATGCAGGCGGTGAGCAGGTAACACCGATGAGACGCGAGCCAAGAAAGCCAAGTGCAAGCGTCTTCAGCGCGCCTACTGCTTGTTTCATCCATGCCCCAACAGCGATCCGCCACGTACCTACATACGGCGACTATACAGGAGACTCATTCTCCACCTGGACAGCAGCCAATCAAAGAGTAGCGGTACAGTGCCATCTAGAATATTCTCACTCAACTGTAGTTTGTATGTACTTCTATTAGACAGCGCCGTCTATTATACTGTTCTGGAGGTACAGCCTTTTATTTCTCGTCTCTTCTTTTCTCGGTTATGCGTGATACATGACAAGTATAGACTAAGAAAAGCTTTGCCCTTAAAAACAAACAGATGGAACTTCAGGTATGCGTGAAAGTGGGTACAGTAGGCAAGTGGTAGTACACAATTTCTCATAGCGTGAAGAAAAAGTTGCCGAATTCTCGACACCGTGCAATGCTTTTGCAATTTTGTGAGATCATCAAGAACTGGAAATCAAGGAGTAGTTGCACTACGGAATTACTGAATCACTCACAAATGTCAGGGAAGAAGTGTTCTTTTTCAACACTGCTGTGTCTTCTCAATTTCTCCAGGATCTCCCGTGGGATCTCATCTCTGCGGATATGCAAGATTTCTGTTTTATAAAAACAAAGCTTACAAGCTTTTCTTTCACAATAAATGGTCAAATGAGAACCTATGCCATTTTTGACATTAGGCGCATGCTCCTTGAATTTTTATGTTTATGCACCAGCTAGATTTCCCAACATAACATCAGCACTCATGTCAGGGCACAGACGTCAGTATTATCCAAACAAAGCGAGTTTTATAATGCGACGATGTGAATATTACACGCAAATTTTCTTGGCGTGTTACCCAGGGGGTCTAGCAATGCTTGAATATAGCTTGCGTCATTATAGGAATGTAAATGCAATGCTTATTATTTTGCTATTAACGTGGAGCCACCTATGGGACCATAACTGACGCTAACCTGGGATTATATCAGTGTCGTAAGTTTACATATGTAATGTTTATTACTTGGTTATAAAATTCGAGAGCCAGCACTGCAACCACGACTGAAGCTGTACCGACTTTACACATTCAAAGTGTCCTTCCAAAGCAGTTTTAACACCTGACTTGGCTGTTTCATAGAATACCTGATTGCCATGCAGAACGCCTGCGTTAGAGTCCTGCTGAGATACTTATTTTTTACATTTTTGCCTGCATCAGGTCTACGCTGCCAATGTAAATTCATCTCAACGCTCTCACATTTAGGTTGCTAATGTCTGTCCTCACCATTCTGGGGAAAATATAAATTGTTAATGACCTGCAGCACATACCTGCGCCTACCGCGGCCTGTGGTATACAGGTATGTGGCACACGTATCTGGAAGAACGAGTGTAAACGATGTAATTCATGTCGTGACCAGACAGTAATATTCGTAGAGCTCTCCTTACCCTCCCATAAAAATTTCGGTCTATCCCAAGTTAAAGAAACTGACAACTGGCCAGAACATGTGATTAGATCTTAGTAGAAATAAATATACTAGCAATAAATTGCAGGCCTTTACACATTGTTACTAGGATTTACATTTTCAAATCACACCTAAAATTTATCAAAAACCATCTGGTTGCGCAGCCTAGCGGAAGAACCTTGAAGCTGGATTATTGAATATGTAGTCGAGAGTTCGACGGAATGCCGTCTGGTCAGGTAAAGGCATTGTTGAAAAAACAGGTCACTGACCAATGTCAAATAAAAACAAAGACGTTTCGGGATCCGTACGGATCCCTTGTTCACAATGGGATGACGGCTGAGCAACAGGTTCTTATGTAACGTTGAGCGCATGACGCAAAGTCCGGGAGTACACGTGGTTTAGTGTGCCAGATGATCTATTGATTGTGTTACTTGTCGTCTGAATGATTAGTGATTCGAGGTTCAGTCTGGTTGTAAAATTCTTCTCCGTGGCCATGATGCGTGCGTTGTCCCAGCTTATCTCGTGGCCCGTCTTCTCGGCATGCTCTGCGAGTGCATTTGTCACTGTGTGGCCCTTGGCGACGTCATTCTTGTGTTGCATCAGACGTCTGCAGTGATTTCCACTCGTGCCAATGTACACCGATTCGCAATCGGCGCATGGTATCTTGTAGACTACACCAGGAAAGTGTTGCCGAGGGAGAGGATCCTTAACATTTAGCAACTCAGCTTTAAGCTTGCTTGCTGGAACATGCACGATCTGCACACCACATTTTCTGAATAGACGGGCTAGGGCATTCGCTTATATTTCGAATATAAGGAATCGATGCACGCTTTTTTTTTTTGTAGACGATGTGTTATGCATGGCTTGACTAGTTGACTGCAGTTTATGCATGACGGATTTAGTTGTTTTTCTAATAAAAATCTTGGGGTATCCATTCCTGATCAGGTCATCTTCAATGGTCCGGAGCTCCTCCTGCAGGCTTCCTTCATCGGAACAAGTGCGAATCGCTCGTTGAACTAAAGAACTGCCTAAATGGCATCGAGACCTCCATCAAGTTTACTGTGGAAGAAGAAAAAGACGGTTGCCTCCCTTTCTTGGATGCAGTTGTAAAACGTACTCCCACAGGCCTCGCCTTCGCTGTGTACCGAAAGCCAACGCACTCCGGTAGATACCTCGACTATGAGTCAGTCCACCCGGTAGCCCACAAACGCTCAGTGATTCGGTCTTTAGTTCAACGAGCGATTCGCACTTGTTCCGATGAAAGAAGCCTGCAGGAGGAGCTCCGGACCATTGAAGATGACCTGATCAGGAATGGATACCCCAAGATTTTTACTGGAAAAACAACTAAATCCGTCATGCATAAACTGCAGTCAACTAGTCAAGCCATGCATAACACATCGTCTACAAAAAAGCGTGCATCGATTCCTTATATTCGAAATATAAGCGAAGCCCTAGCCTGTCTATTCAGAAAACGTGGTGTGCAGATCGTGCATGTTCCAGCAAGCAAGCTTAAAGCTGAGTTGCTAAATGTTAAGGATCCTCTCCCTCGGCAACACTTTCCTGGTGTAGTCTACAAGATACCATGCGCCTGATTGCGAATCGGTGTACATTGGCACGAGTGGAAATTACTGCAGACGTCTGATGCAACACAAGAATGACGTCGCCAAGGGCCACACAGTGACAAATGCACTCGCAGAGCATGCCGAGAAGACGGGCCACGAGATAAGCTGGGACAACGCACGCATCATGGCCACGGAGAAGAATTTTACAACCAGACTGAACCTCGAATCACTAATCATTCAGACGACAAGTAACACAATCAATAGATCATCTGGCACACTAAACCACGTGTACTCCCGGACTTTGCGTCATGCGCTCAACGTTACATAAGAACCTGTTGCTCAGCCGTCATCCCATTGTGAACAAGGGATCCGTACGGATCCCGAAACGTCTTTGTTTTTATTTGACATTGGTCAGTGACCTGTTTTTTCAACAACGATTATTGAATATGGAGTCGATCACTTTGCAGTAGGTAGTTTAAGTGCTATCACGACAGCACCAGACGTAGATACGTAGAGACCTTCGAAGTGCTTGAAGTTTGCTAAAATATGCTTCGCATTTGAAGATGAACTAAGCCCTTGCTTTCCTCAAATATAAATATACAATTGGAGCGCCTTCAAAAGTACAACGCAATGATGTAATCGGGCCCTGTGAGCACTGCCTTCAACCGTGCCGCAAAGAAAGGAACGCTTGGGCGCATAACATTTCAAACTATCAGTAGAATGTCCACTGGATGCGTTCTACAGTGCCGCCACATGCACTTGTGCAACTGCACACGTTCTAAAGTGTGGAAGCTTTAAACCACTCACTCGTTACGCAATTCACTTGTTTTGCAGCCTGGTGCGATTCTAGGATTCTGCCACGCTATACACAAGAACAATACAGCAAACTCTGTGGGTGCCATGAATGAATGAATGCTATGAGCATCACCTTCGTGACAGGGCGGTCACATGTGAACCACCAGGCTAGCAAGAAAAAAAAAACATCCTTTGTTCTTTTTTTGTTGGCTTAACGCCTTATCTACTTTGATTAAATTGATCTTATTATACAATCAAATCTCATTAATTCGAACATGCTTAATTCGAACTTCTGGTTAATGCGAACTCGCGCTGAGGTCCTGTCGAAGCTATGTGTATTTCAATGGGCAATAACGCCCAGTAATTCTAATGCGCAAGCACTTGCGATGGTTAATTCGAACATACCACGCTTCGAAAATGCTCTCAGCACCACGCTCAATCCTGTGGTAGCACCTCCGACACTTTAACGCTGCACGCCAAAGAAAACAAAAAGAAAGAAAAGGCTGTGGAGGAATGTTTGCTCTCCCAAATGCCGATATGCAATGCGCCTGTATCACGCTTCTCTCTTTTTCGTCGCTGCCGCTCGAAGATCTTTCTCCTTTCAACACCGCGAGCAAACAGAGCAAAAAAAAAAACTGCCGCGACGAGAGCCCGCGGAGGCTCACAAGAAGAGCCAGCTGGAACTACTCAAGCTCATGCCCACTGGGAGGTCCGTTCTTCAGTATCTCAACTACAGCGAATCATACGTTGCGGATGCGGACCCGAAAAATTGCATCCGTTGGACGTATGAGTGTCCCTGTTCATTGCGCCATTCCTGCGCAACATGCAGACCACATTCCACAAAGGTAGACAAAGGGCTAGAGCAGAAGCTCTTCAACGAAAGTTCAGGCAAGACCCGAACGCCCGCTATACCGACGCGGCCAAATACCCCCGTAGAAATGCATATGCTATCAGCGTCGTCGACTCTCAAGGTCAAGAGTTTGCGTCGACCACAGTCAAGGCACGCAACTCAGAGGCAGTGGAAGAAGACGCTGTGATTTTCACTGACTTGCAAGCCGCTTGCCAGAATTATGTGAAAGGCCGCGTCTCAGCTGACGCAATTAACATTCTGCTACGGCGAAGCTCTTCACTTCCATATACCTGCGTAATCTGGGTTCCTGGACATGAGGGTCTACAGGGAAATGAAGCGGCTCACGCCACTGCCCGTGAGCGCGTCAGCCGGGCTGCCCTAGAACCAGAGGATGCCCAATCCATGGCTGCAGAAATGCAGGTAGTAGAAAACACCTACTCGTCACTACTTCAACATTACAAACTGGAGCGACGAGTGTACCCTCCACCCCATCCAAGACTAACCAAAGAAGAGAGCGTGATTTTCAGACGCCTACTAAGCAACAAGCAACACTTAGATACATGGCATATTAATGCACCGTCTCTACCCAATGGCACAAGGCTACATGTGCCCGCTCTACAGCGTACCAGACACCCTGGCACACTTGCTCCTGGAATGCCAGTGCCATGCAAACCACGATGTGCAACTAGAGCGGGATCAAGCCCCAAAAATAAACGACGACTACCTACTAGAAACGTGAAAGGTCAAGCTCATCCTCGAGGACCTGGAAGATCAGTGACAACTCGTTGCCAGGGCCAGAGTGGCAGTCGAAGCCAGAGGGTTTCTGGAACAGGTAACCCTCCTACCTTAAGGCGACACCGGGCCTCGCTCAGAATACTGTTTCTAAATAAACGTTTATTTCTCTCTCTCTTTGTCTTGGAGTGTTGGTTCTCTCTCAAATGCCGATCTGCTTCTCTCTACGTGGAGACGCTCCTTCTTTCTTGTCACGTGCTGGCCATGCTGTGGCTGCGTAGCGGAAACGTAGTCGTTGTTGTCATCGTCTTTAGAGGGCGTCAGCGCTGGACATTGCCGCGGGATACTTCTTTTGCCAGGAGAATGCTGAAGTGGAAGTAGAAATGCTTTGCATGCTGCGTGCGAAATTGACTCCCTGCAAGGACAAACATGTGCAGACGTGCATCACCGATTACTTCAATTAATGACGGATGTCCTGTGATTTGTGAATACATGTAAATCTTCTGAAGCTTCCTCCTCGTGTGTTAGCTCAATGCACATGCACCACTGCATGGTGAGCCCTGCGTTCATTTAGCTTTCATTAATTTGAACTTCTTTTAATTAGAACAAATTTTCGGGCCCCTTCAAGTTCGAATTATCGAGATTCGACAGTAACAAAGAAAAATGTAAATTCAAGTTCTGTCTTTCTGCCACTTCAGGCAGAATGACCTCATTTCCCCACTATTTCTCTTCATCTCTACTTTTCTGCCACCAATGCTTTAACCGTCTCTTAATTGCTTCTATTGCGGACGTGTTAAGCTTTCCATGTTTGTCCCTCAAACCCAAAACCTCATGTCGGCTTGTACCCACACGTATACATGGGTGGATATTGCCGCATCCAATCAGAACATGTTCTATCGTTTCGTTAGCTCCCCCACAACATGCACATTGTTCTTCATCTTTATTAAATCTTGCTTTATGACAAGGCATTTTAAGGCAAGTCGACCTCACTTCGAACAGTAAAGCGCTTCCCCGAATTATCATAAAACCTCTCCCGCCTTATTTCGTTCTTGCCCTTTCGGTAGTTACTGATAGACACCACAATGCACGTCGCGTCATCTGTCACTAGTGCAGCGAAGCAAATCCTTGAAATGCTGAGTGACCAGACATGCTGCCAAATAAACGCGTAACTTCCCAACCCTAGTCAAATGATGAGCATGTTCCACGCTTTTTCTATCCTGAAAATAAGTGCTGTATCCTTGTGAAACGTGGAGACCTTCTTCGACGGCGAGAATGTCTACAGCGCGTGCAGTACAGATGGCGGAAGCAACTTAATCAGGCACAGACAGAATCACATGTTTAGAGCTGTGGATGCTGTTGTCCGCAGCTGCTGCCTCATGTTTGTTCGTGCTTGAATTAGAGCATAGGGGCCTAGCATGAAGTGTGTCTGTTAGGTACACTGTAAAAAAATGTATATTAAATTAGACAAAATTTATAGGCAATATCCGTTTTGCCAGCATAAAATTTCTTGGATTTGATGAAATGGATACGCGCTGTGTTTCAAATGATGTGATATGCCAGTTCAACAATGTAAACAAAAACCTCCTGTAAATATCGTAGCCCTTTCATAATAAATGATGAAAATCTTTAGGCTTTATTTGCTTTTTCACAGAACAGTCATGTCAGAGCTCTCCACTGGGTACTATACAACTAAATGTCATTCTGGAGATAAGTATTGGTATGTTTTCGAAACCTTATCTTTAATCTGCTTCGTAAGTAGCTCATACACATAGTGTCAGTATACTTTTCAAATGCAACTATCACTGACATTTTGTTCAAATTTAGCTGCTTACCCCTCTTCAACCTTCGTCACTGTTCCTGCCCTCGCGAGACTAAATTTCGTGACTGTGGTTCGCAAGTTGAAGAGAGTTTGAGACCTTCGAGCTAGTTCACCAGAGAAGCGACACTTTTTACAATGAAAGTCTTTTCTAGAGCAATGTATGAAGCCGACAGTGACTACCTTGCATATTAATAATATTCAGAATTCTATAAAAATTTATGCCCAACTCGACGAGCACCAGCTTCATGTCGACGATCACGGTATGTGCCTTTGGCTGAGAGGTTCTACATGATATCAAATGCTAGGAATGAAATGAATAGTGTGCCTATACAATATTACAATAATATTGCAGGGAATGCCATAAAGCATTACGGATTCTGGACGCCATAGAAGACAAAACGGGCACTTTGTTTTTTGAAGTCGGCACTAGAAGAAAAACTTCCATAGGATAACAAAAAATATGTGTGCAAACAGAAAAATCTTGTTTTCTAGGAAAAAATTACGAAACTAAACATCTCTTTGGAAAAATAGAAAAGCAATAACAGACCATTTACGCAAAATTCATGCTATATCGAATACAGAAAACAGACCAGACTGTACAACTGTTATGTCTCTGAATTTGCTAAGCTTGTTCTATTACTTTTTTTCTCACAGAATTTTTTTTCTAATGTGTCATTGAATACAGCTTTGGTCTTCGCATATTTATTTCTGCTGAAAACGGCAGCTGAAGCAGCTGGCTGGATGCTCCAGACAAGGGAGATTCCGTCCAGGCGTATAGGCTCTTACATAGTAACAAACGTGCGAGACGTGTCGTAATGTCTCCTATTATTTTCACGCGGCCTGTGAAAGAATGGAGTGCTACATATTACAGGTTGCGCAGAAAGTTTTTGTTACAAACACACCATTTCAGCGTGTATCACATGATAATTGATGTACGCTTTGCAGCATTAGTATGGAGTCCAGCTCAGAAGGATTAATTGTTGTCTAGAACATGTTCGAAAAACACCTGCATTTCAGGCTAATTATTGCTGAGAAACTAAATAGTTGGGATCATGCTTGAATAGACAAAATAAAAATACTTACTTGTGCTTTTTTACCAGGCTCGTGGTCTTCCGGTTAACTATAATTATCCAATCGGAGCGAAGCTGGGTGTTTCTCGCTGGGGATAGAAATCTATGCAGGCTGAAAACGCCGCACCCATGCCACAATTCCTGCCTTGTGCTGTGATCATCCCAGAGAGTTCCGGGTGATGTCTTCCTCCCAGGCTGGCTGTTTTCGCATCCAACGATGTCGAAGTGGTGCCCAGACGACTTCTTGTAAGCGCGATAGGCGTAAACGGGTGCTTTTCGCATTTTGCAATTTAAAAGCTGTCGCTTGCCGCATTACCTTGGCGTATACATTACCGGCAACCTATAGACAGTACACACAGCACAATCGACTTGTATTTATTTCATCAGCAAAACGGAAACTGTTTTTCTTTTTGATAATGACATGCGGGCTCAGTGTGCTTTGCCAGCTGATTTATGAACCCTGAGGAAACTTACCACTGACAAATGCGAGCCATTTTTCTCACCATGCATCTTACAAAGGATTAAGACAACATATGCGCATTGCAATCCCTGCTCGTGGGAGAGTCAAATCCTTTCGGCGACCCAAATGGCGCCGCGGCAGCCGGCCTTGATGGTGGCTGTAAGAAGACCATAGAGTGGCGCCTCTTCAGCACCGTGCTCAAGGCCGGCGTCGTGATGTCCCTGCTCGTCGTCTCGACAGCGCCGCAACAAGTCGAGCAGCTCGGCGTGATCCTCGCCAGCGTTGGCCAGCAGCTCACGGATTTGGTTATCGTAGTGCTCCGCGATGACCGATTCCACAGCTACTGTGCACGCCATGGCGCCGCGTTGGCCCAGGAGCGCCGTAGCTGCACACGTTGTCTAGTTACTTGAGCAGCTCTTCGAGTACAACAACACGCCGCACGCGCATGCCCTCCAAGACGGCTGCTGTGTGTACTCTGCAATCCAAGCTTTTTCGCAAATGTAAGTCGTCAGCCTCCGGTGACCAGAGAGCTGTCTGTTAACTAATGCGTGCCTCCGCTCGACAGTGCAGAATTTCAACTCATCGAGCTGCTAAAATAAGATGGCCACCACATATCACAAAGTGATTTAGGCTCGGCAACATATATTTCTGTTTTTTGCCTACAGCTTGTAGTTAATTTTTTCTAAACTTTTCTGCCATGAACAAATCACGCACACACACTTGCAGCTAGCTAGTTCAGGGGTGTCAAACACACAGGCCACATGCATGCGGCCCACGGACACCTCTTTCTAGCGGCTCGCCACGCATGTGGCGGTTAGTCCCATACTTGTTTTCTCAAAAAGCTCGCTCTTATAAGTTATATGGACGTGATCGGTATCAATTATTCTTTTCTTGAAGTGTGAAGCATAACAGTGGAACATATTATTTATACTTTACAACTGGCCTCTACATTGCTGTCATTAGATCTGGAGATTAGTACTAGCATGTTTCTCTAAATCTTGTTTGCAATCTTTGTTTTACACAGTAATTGTCCACAGGTACTTTACCATGTGATTGGAAAGTGGGAAAGTTGTTCTAGTCTTCAAAACATGTAACAAAGACTCCCCTTTAAACTACCGTCCCATTTCCTTAACTACTAGCCTCCTTTGCAAATTCATGAACATGTCATATACTCGCATGTCATAGCGTTTTTAGATTCAGTAAACTTCTTTCATCCTTCACAACACGGTTTTGATTAGAAACTTTCTTGTGAGACACAACTAGTCATATTTCTTTATGACCTTCATGCTAATCTTGATAACAATGTCCAAACAGATGTTACTACTCTAAAGCATTTGATACAGTACCTCATAATCGTCTACTAATAAAATTATCCCTGTTGAACTTAAATGGTGATGTATTACAAAGAATTAAATAATTCCTAACTAACCTTTCCCAGTTTGTTCTTGTAAATAACCGCTCGTCCAAGCCCCTTCCCGTCACCTCAGGCGACCCCCAAGGCTCAGTCTTAGGACCACTTCTTTTTCTCATATACATCAACGATCTGCCACGGCATGTATCATGTCATATTCGTATGTTCGTTGACGACTCTGTAATTCGTCATGCTGTATCAAATATTTCAGAACAAGAATCACTTCAGAACAACGTGGACATCATACACAACTGGCGCATTCATTGGCAAATGAGCTTTAAGCCTAAAAAATGCAAATTTCTTTAGATTTCTTGCAGACGTAATCTACTCCTTTCAACCTGCTCAATCGCAAGCGTCCCAATTGAACAATTTCTCATGTATAAGTACTTAGGCCTAACTTTATTGCATGACCTTTTCTGGACTGTGCACACAACGAATGTCATTTCATCACGAACAAGACCTTGGGATTTATGAAACGTTACCTTCTCCATGTGCCACAACAAGTCAAATTACTTGCATAAAAATAATGTTTTGACCGAAATTAGAATATGCCGCTGCCATCTGGAACCTTCATCAAGCCTACATCAACAATGCACTTGAATATCTTCAGAATTGTGCCACAAGATTCATTCATTCTTCATATTCTTGTAATGTGAGCATTTCCCTCTTAAAGGCTGAATCAAACTTGTCATCCCTTGCTTTTGATTGTCGTGTTGCCACGCTCTCTCTCTTTCACGAATTGTCTTTACAGCTCGCTGAATCTCCCACCTTACATCACGCCATGATCATCACGCACATCATTGTGCACCAGCCATCAAATGTAAGTAAGCCACTCACGAACACGAACAGTGAAATTTGAAGCCTTCTTTTATCCTTGAGCTGCCAAAGACTGGAACAATCTGCCTCCCCAAGCTGCCATCATAAGAAGTCATACGGAATGTTTGGTCATGTTGCCAACATGTATCACACCATATCAAACGGGATCTTTAGGGTAATAAAATAAAATGAAATGAAGTGACCCACACACATGGCAAATGTCTCGATATAGTTCCCAAATGCAACTTTCGCTAATATTTTGTTAGCGAAAGTTGCATCACCCGTCTCTTCGCTCGTCTCCACTGGAGCGGTGGAGACGGGCGAAGGGGTTATGATCAAGAGATGAGAGCAGACTCGCGAGAGAAGGGCAAGAAGTTGTGATAAAGAGAAGGGAAGGTGTGGCGGGAGGGCGACCTTGAAAACCAAAACACACGGGAAGGAGGCAGGTTGGGTAGCTTGCTTGAAAGTTCCGCCAAACTCACACATAGAAAAACTTGGGAAAGTGTGCATGGCCACCTTAATCGGTGTATGCGCGCGGCGGTGTTCGAATAATCGACGGCCGTGGTCAAAAAATCGTTTTGTTGCACCGGCAGGTTTGCGTGGCCTCACGAACTTCGATATTTCGCGATTCTTTCTGCGCAAATTAACAGCCATTTTCGCCCTTTTGCACACGCGCGGAAGGCATGCTGAGCCGAGTGCGAAGTGAGCGAGGACAAGTCCTAAACACGAAACGAATTGCAGTTGTCCGAGTCGGTGGGGTGCCGTACGCGCGTGCACTAGACGCAGACTATCGGATACAGTCGGTGGCCGACGATGTTGGCAAATGGTTGGGTCACTCCAGGCTGGCGACGTCAACAACAGTACCAGCGATCAAACACGGGGTAGATGGCGGACCGGTCTTCGAAAGATCGGTGGCAGTGTGAAAACACGGGCCTCGTCTGGCAATGCAGGGTGCTCAGAGTAGCGGGGGGACAAAGAACGAAGGGGTGAGTAACAAAAAGCAGTCGGGGCATGGAGGAAGGAAACAGCTTTCTTTCCTCCATGGGTTGAGGAGAGCGGCAACTAGAGAGTCGCGGAGGCAGGGTTGGCGTTTAACAATCAGAATGTATGGGCACCTCGCCGATGCGTGATCAGTGGTTGAAATCGGTTTGCCGGACGTCGGCAGACTGCTGACTCCGTTTGCTGTAACCAATCAGGGGCGCTCGGAGACATTCGTTGTAAGTGCGAATTTGTGCCATTGAACCAATGTATATTTTCAGAGTCACGCGAATATTGTTCGTTTTATGCGAAAGTTTGTCTTAAGTGGGGCCAGTGTATGTGGGCTCGACTGTATACCCGTAATTGTCCTGTTATTCATCGGCCAATAAACCAGTCATTTCATTGTGACCGTATGAGAAACGCATGTGTTGTTACTGTACAAAGCTGCAATTAATTTAAATAAACTGAGGGCAGACAAACTTATGAGGTGGTCTTAGGTGGCAAAGCTTCCGTTGCCACATGCGAAGAACATATACACCCTGAAACTCATACGTTCAACACAACATATGCAATAAGCGTTCCATTACCAATAACGGAGAAATGTGATTGGCTGAAACCATTTTGGAGCAGGTTTTCAAAGCAGCCAGGACCATATTTAAAAAAAAAGAAAAGGCTTTTGAAGTCGCCGATTTCTCATTGTTGAATGAAAAAGTTGAATTTGAGACAACTAAAATGGCTAAACAAAGTAGAACTGAGCAGCATTCCACAACATTACATGCACGTATACAGCTTGAACTACTTACAGTATAACCCCCTTTTAGCTCGGGACCTGCTATAATGCGGCCTTTTCTTGCACCTGTTTATCCTGACTCCAAGTATACACACACCGGTCGTGAATGAGTAAAGGTTCATCTTGGTCTATTTATTTTATCACTCAATTTATATATTCGTTTACGAGTGCATTAGGAGCCTAATGCAATATTGAATACACATGCATTTTGCCTACCTTATATGAGTAAGTAGGCATGGCAATAAAATATAGGGTTGTCGTGCATGAGGTTGTCAATACAATAAGTAAACCTCCTGCGTGGTAGCGTTATTTGCTTGAAGCTCACATATATCTAAACTCTTACACCCAAACTTTCTTTTTATTTTCCAGAAAAACAATTTTCTTAGTGGTTCATTGCATTGGTACAGTAAATAAATGCCCTAAACACACTAGGAAGAACATATTTGTAGTATATGTATAGAAGGCAGACTAAGCCCTGGTCGTGGTGAATCGATGAATTTCAATACGAGGCATTCGAAACATCTTGCTGAATTCGGAAGAGCTCAACAGCAATCACACAAGCTACCTTTTGCATACACGCAGCTTACTACAAACGAATACAGCCAGCATATGTTATGAAAAGAGTTTCCATGCACTCAGATTTTTTGCAAGTTTAATATACCTTATGCAAAATTGCTGCCATCTGTCAGCCGTCGTGTGCATACCGCCATGTTAGAGGTTCGAATGCGGTGCAGTACGCACAGTCTGTGTGTGTTTACGTATATGTATGCGGAACGACACGAGGCGTGCATTGGCTGATAATTGCAGTGCCGACGTATTGCTGCGGCCCTTCTGCACACAGAGAGAAACTCGGAATGCTCAAAAAAGGAAGATCAGCCGTAATATGCCCCATGTTATTTTTTCAAGCTGATGACCTTTCCAGCATGTGCTTCAACATTAGCATGTTCAGTTGGTAAGTCGGGTGCAATCATTTTGTTTAAATCACTTTGGCTTGATGGAGGAGTAGGAGAAGTTTTCTTTATATACGGAATGTTTTCTTAACTTCAGAGTGCAAATATGACACTCAGCCACCGGCATGATTTTACCGAGAGATATACCACGAGGGAGCACTTCTGTACATAGGCTGAAATTCACTAGTGATAGGCAGGATGCGTTGTCCCTCATCATTACGAGCGTGAGGAACAGAAACATTGTGCGAAAGCAGAATGCCGGCATTGGGGGACACAATATTGTCAAACTTACGTGGCGCTCTTGGCCCGTAAGCACGGAGACGAGGCGACTTGAAAAGAATTAAAGCTTATTTGTGCGAACTTGTGCCCATAAAAGAATTGCGTGAAAAGACTGTCAGTGTCCTCGAAACAGCCTGCCCAATTCAGCGTCGGCGGAAGGA